CTGCGTCTGCCCTCCCGTCTTTTAATTGGCATCATGTGGGGGAGCGGGCGGAGCGGTGACAGCTGCGACAGGCGGGACGCATCCCGACGGAGCGCTCAGCCCCGCGCCTCTCCGCGCAGCCCCGCGCCGCAGCCTCGGCCGGCGGCCGGGAGCAAGGGAGGGGGACGCCGGAAGCGGAGGGGCTCCCGGGAAGTTCCTTCCCTCACCCCATCACCAGGCTGTCCTCCCGGTGGCTTCTTAGCCACGAAGGGCTCTGCTTCCCTCGCCCTTCCCGGGGTGGGCGATCGCTGGACGCGCAGCAGCCCGGGGAGAGCAGGGTTCGGACGGTCCCTCACCCTCCCCTGCCCTTCGCTTCCCTTGGAAGCCCTACAGAGAACTGGCTGGCAGAGTTTACCGTCTTCGTTGTTCTTTCGGTGTTTTAGAGTGCTAAGGGGAAACTAAATTGCTTCAATCCATCAATACAAAGAAAGCTTATATGTAGCCAAAGACAAAAATGTGCAAAGGGCAAAGCGGCAACAACAAAAAGACCGTGTAGTTGCAGAGGTATTCATTGCTTAAAAGCCAAGGGAAATTTTTCTGTAGGCCTGTTCTTCACCAGAGCTAAGCTAGATGAAAGTTAAAATTTCACGTTTGTGAACGATCCACCCCCTCTCACCTGTGAGCCTGACAGGAGAGTGTGACCAGCCTTTATGTCAGGCTGATGTCCTGCTGCCATTCAGCGTGGTCAAAGTTGGATCATGTAGAAGAAGGTGCATGAAGGGTTGATGTGTCAGGAATAAATAACTTCCCCAAAACTTTCTTCCTAAACTTCTTGTGAAGTGGTTTCATTAAAGAAAATGCTCAGTGTCTGGTGAAAAGAAATTCAGTACCCCTTGTACTGAGACAGTTATTTCCTCAAAGCTTCCCTTCCCCGTTTTCAGCTATAAATAGGCCCCTAGCTTTTAAAGTTTGGAGATGCCCTGATTTCCATTTGATCCAGCCTCATTTTGAGGAGGATTATCTATTTTAATATCTGGTTCAGGTCCTAAGTACTATCCATATATTATAGAAACTATACAGTGAAAATATTCACAGAACTGTGGGGGCAAATCATGAAATCCTTAAACTGACAAGGCTTCTGTAAGACTGTATGCTTCGCCCCAGATAATCTCTTGAAGGACTTAATATGGCACATAAAACTTGCTGTGAATAGGCTTTTGAATATTTCAAATGAAGAAGTCTCTATTCTGACCTCAAATATGTGGATGTTCTTTGACAAAGTACCTTAAATTCATCTTCTGCACTTACGATAGGATGTGACAGTGCTTTTTTGTTCTTTTTATGCACTAAGCAGCGTGCACCCAAATATTTGAAATGAGAACAGCAATTAAAGACAACATTTAGACTGTTGTGAAAGATGCCAGACTCACTAACTTAGCTATAGTATTGTATAATGCACACTTAATGTAAGATTTAACTTCAGTTAAAATTGCTTGGTAACATGTACCAAGTAACGTGATATTTTGGTAAAAGCTTTATAGAAAAAACCTTAGTAAGGAATCTGGAAGTACTACATGTCCAGATATAATAGGAATGTTTAAATTGTTTCCATGGATCGATTGTATCTGAGATACTACCTACACCAGATAAACAGCATGCTGCCACTTTATATTACTTAAAAGAATCCACAATTACTAAATATTTCCCCTCAGTATTTTTTATTTGTGCGTATGTAGAGAATAGTTTAAAACACCCAGGCCTTAAAACAGGATTATCAAAACAGTAAGACTATGGTGTTTGTAGTACTGAATAATATATAAGGTAATGATCAATAGTCCCTTACAGGGAATACTTTTCATCTTCACATTAGCTTGGCTATAAATTTTCCCTATTGACTTCAACTTGTGCCATGTTAGATTTGTGATTCATGCCTGTTATTGATTAGTGCACAACTATTTTGTGGGAGATGCCAAATTAATTGTTAAAAAAATCCATGAAAGTGCTTTTTTATTTGCCCATGAGGCTCAACACATACTATACCCTTATTTTATTATTTCATATTCATATAGTTTCCAATGAGTTTTAAAAATAGTTATATGGTGTGCTTAGGCATGAAAATTCACAAAATATATTGAAAATGCTACTCTGTGCTTTATTTTGTGACTCAGAAAGTAACACAGCAGCATGCTTCTGAATGCTGCTGGATAACTCCTGTGAGATCATTACAATCTAAGATGAGCATTCCCAAATAGGAAGCAATTTCCATTTTTTACACAAGACTTCTAGGTTTGTGCAAGGTTTGGCTGGTAGCATCCTCATTGAAGAGGTAAGCAATTTGCAGGGAAGGCTGCCAGAAAATCCCCAAGCCCCCAGAACCAAATGAGTCAATACTTGATACAGATACTTGCTGTACTGTGCACATGGATGCTGAACCTGGGAGCTTTGCAGAAGCAGTGCTTCTTGGCAAAATATTATTTCTATGTGCACAAATGTCTGTGTGAGCTTGCTCTTATGTGCATGGGAAGAGTTAATCCTGTATACACTATTACTTAGGTTTAGGATATTTTAATTTTTGAATTTGAGATGAATAAATAATAACATAGGGAGAGTGATTACTGTCTAAGCAGAAATGAATGAAAGTGGACTATACTAAGGATTTTAATTTGTCAAACCTCTGGAAGATCACACTGTGAGTAAATCTTTCCCTGTATTCCTGGTCCATTGATGGCTGGAAGTAGATCTTTTGGTTCCATGTGTAACATTGTTTTATCTCACAATTCTGATTAAATCGTATTTTTTCAGAATTTATTTTGCAAGAGAAATTTCATAGGTTACTCACTTCTACTAATTCGTGCACTCGAAAACCTTTTTTTTTCTCTGAATGTACTATCTGCTGTGCAAATCAGAGTATAACTGAGTTTGTGTTTGGAAATGATGAGAAAGATTAAGAGTAATCTTTTCATTTGGTACATTAATGCTGTTTGTAATTCATCATTCTAACAGGCACTCAAAGGACTTTAAGTATTGTATATTTGTTTGTTCCTTATGTTCCTCCAAACAACACAGAAAATGGGAAAACAACCTTGAAAATAGCTGCTTGGCACTCAGGGATCAGTCACATCTGAAAAAAAAAATCTTTCAATGGAAACAATATATACATTGTTTGTTTTTTTCCTGCATTTTGTAGGTATACTGGAATTTATCAGTATAGCAGTGGGCTTGGTCAGCATCCGAGGGGTCGACAGTGGACTTTACCTTGGAATGAATGAGAAAGGGGAACTGTACGGCTCGGTAAGTTCCCACTAGCCTTGGGCAGTTATGATACTTGTATTCTCTGGGGTAAACGCTAGCTTCTACAAGCTCCTGTTGCACTAGGTGTATATGCTGTATGAGCACTCTTTCTGCTCTAAATATCTTGCAGTCTAATTTGAAACAAGACCCTGTGGGTGACATACTGAATATGGGAGAGGGAAAAGGTGACAAAATTAGGAAAGAGTAATAATGCAGATGAATGGCAATTTAGATACAAGCAATAGGGACTGATGGCCAGAGCTGGTCATTGAAGACTAAAAGATTTGTGAAGACTGTAAGATTTGTAAATGTGTCCTTTTAGTAGAAACTTAAACTGAGACGGAGTGGCTTCCTTTTGTGCGTAGGCAGAGAGCTTTCTAGGAATTGACAAAATAAGGTAGAGCGTGAGGGAAAAGACGGCATATGTAGATGAGAAAATGAGAAACAGAAGTGTGACAAAAGTTATAAAAAGTATGGGAACGAGGGCAAGAGGCTTGGTGGTCTTGTCCTGAATGTTTCGCTGGTGCTCCCTAAGGAATGGCAGCAGGAGTGAGTAATGGGTATGAGGGAGGAGTAAAACTTGGTATTTCGGATGTGGGAGTTTGCCAGCCTACCTGCAGCTGATGGGTGACTGTTCTCAGCAGCATGGACTGTCTTCCAGTAGAGGAGAGTGTGTGTGTGCATGTGTGTGTGTGTGTGTGTGTGTGTATGTAGGACGTGACCCTTATCTGGGAATAATGTATGCTGGAGTTCACACCCTGGGTAGATTGTGGGCAGGGGGCATCTGAAATGGATCAGGTAACTCCCCAAGCGGTAGAAGGCAAACTCTTCTAGCAGTAAAATGTCAACCTCCGAGGTTTACAAAGACTAGAGAGGCAGTTGTCTTTGAGGAAGAGGATGGAAGTATTGAAGGGTAAGCAAATGTCTAAAGCAAAGTGAAGCTGTACATTCACAGGGGGTCATTAGAAGCAGAAGAGAAGGTGACAATGGTCGACTGATAGAGTAGATGTTGCAGAGAAACACTCAAAAAGAAGTTAAAGTGATAGAGCGTGTAGCTTTGGGTGTAGCTGAAGATAACTGTGTCACAGGGAGCAGCACTAACTGGGAAAAGGTGGGGGCCACAATGAGAGTGGGAGAAAACATGAGATTTTGCTGGTGAATGGGCAGGTGGAGCAGAAGGATTAAGAGGGAAATGCAGCTTCCATGAATGTGATCCATGGTGAAGTATAGGGAAGTGAAACCAGAAAAGTCCAGCAGAAGTGTTTTTATAAGGGTGTCCGGGTTCACCAATCTCTTTCTAGTAAAGTTTTGTGTGAGCGAGGGGAAGGGAACTATCTTCTGAGCAAAGAACAGGCTAGGGGAGGAAGCCAGAAAATACAGATAATGACAGTATATGTGGGAGGCAGAAAAAGAGGTAGTAGAATGAGGGGAAAGACTGGGATGGAGGATGTGTGGACATGGGAGAAGGTGAGATATAGAGTTGGTGAGAGCCAGTGAGTGGGAAAGGCCAAAGAAAAGGGATTTAGCATAATGAGTAATACAGAGGAGGTAAAGTTTGGAAGGATGGAGAGGGAGTGAGAAAGGGAATGGACACAATGACAGATGTAAACAGGTTACCTTTGAGGAATAAGCTGTCATAAATCACAATTGTTGTGCAGTTGATGAATGTGATTAAGAACTAGCAAAGTCATGAGTACTTTTATGGTTCAGTTAGGCAGCAAAAAGGCAGAACAACAACAGTAATATGAATCAGTAATGTTGATAATCATCAGTAAGAGTAATCATTTAAACTTACAAACATAGTGAATCAGTTACTCTGCATTTCAGATATTCTGAGAAAGAAAATGTGCTTATTGATAGAGCTTAAATGCATAGACTTGAGAAAACAAAGTCTTTGTTTTCTGCGTAATTTATATTTTCTATTTGCAATATGTTTGACTGTCAGAGTGAATTACTCAAAACATTCTTTGCGGAAGAAATACGCACAAGAAATTCTTTGTAAATTACTAAGCTCACTGCATTTATAAAATAGTTGTTCCATTAACAGCAGTTCTAAAGGAGTCTGCTTTCCTAGGGGTTTGTGTCTCACAGGACAAGACATGGGTCTCCCTGACCTTCTGTCCCTGCAATAGCACAAATTCCTCAGCCTTTTGTGTTTCTTGTATGGAGAAAGAGACAGTATTAGCTGTCCATGCTCACCAGATTGTCAGTTTGCAGGGATTACATAGTTTACCACTCCCAAGTGGGACGTGCAAATGATTTCTCTTCTTTACCATGCCTCTGATTAGTTGAAAAACTGATAGGAACTTCATTTTCTCGAAGACCTTTGCCTCTTGATTGAAACTGGTTGAAAAACCAAGGAAGGAGAGACAGGCAGGCAGATGGATGTGCAATATAATTGGATAACATCTTTTCCCTAAGAAAGGACACTAAAAATATGAAACCATTCATAATGGAGAACTGGCAATCTGTGAGGCTAGAATGCAAAGTTCAGGTTAAAATCTGATGGATGATATGGCTTGTTGTCAGCCTCCAGAGATGGGACATACTAAAGGGTGATGGTAATTGAATTACATTACTTCCAATGAAATATAACCTCTAATGGCTACTCAATGTGATGATGCTTTAAAGCCTTGTCAACACTAGCAATCCTAGTGCCTATATTTCAGCAACTGTCAACTCTCTTAGAAACACTGAGATAAGCATGCCTCAGAGCAGATTTTTGTGTTGAATTGGCTGGACATTTTTAAGTGACAACGTTTCATTTTTGGTTTTGGTGAAAAAATCCACTTAATTGAAAAGTAAGTTCTCTGAGGGAATAAATATTACAACTTGAACTAGAAGCAAGGCACAATCTAGCACAGAATTATCTCTCTAGTGAAGTAGAAGACTAGTTTAAGCAAGATTAGTTTTGAGACTGATATGTGATAGACTGCAAAAAACTTAATTCAGTTGTTCACCTGCATTAAGCAGAGCAGTCACTTGAGTTGAATTGTTCTGTTGCACCAGTAAGTTGTCCTTGTGCTGCTGCGCTGGGAGCTGGATCCCTGTGTCTTGGTTTCTTTTCTAAAGGCCATGAATAACACCAGCTTTTTCATGGATTAGGTACACTTATGACACTGTGAATGTTTTTCCTACGGTGGGAAAACTGTTTCCCACACACAACTGAATAGCAGCCTAAGAAATACTTGGTATTGCTCCACATTAGCGTTGTGGATCTAAGTAGGTGCTTAGATCCACCACTTGTAAGGCATTCACTACTCGACACTATTGGAACAGGTGTCCTTTGTCTATGACACTATCATATTCATGTTCAAATTACTGCATGAAAAATATATTAGGTGTGAATCAAATCAGTGACCTAAAAGACGAATCCTTCTATGTTTGAGTTTGAAACATTTGTCACAGGAAGATTTTTCCCAGTGTATTTGTGGTACCACTGGAGATGGGACATATGGCAGAGCAGAGCAGCCAGGGTTGGTGACCACTGCTAGTTTTCATGAAAGACAACAGTAAAGGCAGTTTCAGCATATCTTGATCAAAGCACATTAGTCTTTGAGAATCAAAGTTCTGCTTTACTTTTAGATTAGCTGCCTGACAAACTCTTCCCAACGTCCCACCGTTACAGTGGACAGTTCTGACTGCACTTTCTGGTCAGAAGGGCACAATGACTTTATGCTGCTTTTAGGCAGGTATGTGTAACATAGTGTAGCTGTTCTCAAGTTCTTCCTCAAGCCATGGATTCAGCCAGGAAAAGCTGAAGATGTATGTATGTGATACTGCAGAGAAGCCAGTGGTAGCTACATAGCAATGACTTGGAAGCTGGTTAGTGACAGCAGCTTTCCGTCTTGTCTGTCCCTGCTCTCCTTTTACCTTGTCTTTCCCTTGCAGCCTGCAGCTATGACTCATCAGGTTTTACAACAACTACTGTACTTGTCACTGGAGAAGAGGAAAAATACAAACTACAGACAGGACCCTAAGGGTGTTAAGAGAAGATTCAAAGGCTGTTTCCTTCCCAAGTGCCAAACAGCTCTTGCCAACACCTCTGACAAGAACATTAGCAAACGTGTCTTAACTGTGCTCCTCAGGGCCATGCCATGGAGTGAGGGAGGTCTCTCTGATCAGTCCCAAGACCTTCATGCTTTTGTGGGCTGTCCCCATTGTTGTGCTGCCCTTGGGCATATTAAAAGGTGACACTCACGTGGCAGGCAGTGATGTGTACCCACGCCATGGGGTGCCCCTTGTTCCCCCTGCGGGCTGTCCTCTGAGGCAGTCCTGTGCTATCTCAAGCACAGCAAGACCATGGAACACCCTCGCCTCAGCTGCTCTGGTTGTCCTGGGCTCTTTTACAGTAGAGAGCTGTGCTACATCCTACTGCTGACATCCCTGCCCCACCAGTCTCCCAAGAACATGGACTTGCCCCACTCCTCTTCTCAGACTAGATATAAGGAAAAAAATTTTTTACAATGAGGATGGTGAGACACTGAAACAGGTTGCCAAGACACATTGTGGATGCCCCATCACTAGAAACATTCAAAGTCAGGTTAGCTGGGACTCTGAGCAACCTGATGCAGTTGAAGATGTCCTTGCTCATTGCAAGGGGGTTGGACTAAATGAACTGTAAAGGTTCCTTTCAACTCAAACCATTCTATGATTCTGTGAAATGCTGGTGCCTCCATTGCTCCTTGTGTCCTTGGCAGGTCGCAAAAGACAGCTCAGGTAGGATGGTCAGGAGGAATACTGATAGTTGTAAGATCTGGAACAGCTATCAGGGAGCTGTGCAGAGGGAAGGAGGAAGGCAGGAGTGGAGATGGTGGACTTCTGGGGAAGGGGGAAAGAGCTAGGAGTGTATAGAAGGAGAGACCAGGAGAGAGTAAAGAGAGAAGTTTCATGTCGCCACAGAGCAACTGGGACAGGGTTGAAGAGCCCAGATTGGGAACCAGAGAGGGAACTACACACTTCTGGGTTTGACTTACAGGGTGTGTGCTGCAAGGTGATAT